TTCTTAGTGTTGCCAATTAATGCTATTTTTCCAAGTACTTTATTAAGGCCTGATTCTAATGACAAAGAAATCATATTCAACTAAGCCTATGAAAGAAAAAAAAGAACAAAGAAGGAATAAACCAAATATGGAAAATATATATGTTTAACGAGTAAAGTCCTTAGTGTACCTTGTGTTGCTGGTATATTAATTGCTGATTGATCATTGCCTAAACAGAGCATTAGTTAATAGAATCTGGTGAATGGAATTTATTTTTCATTAGAATATAGGAAAGGAAAGAGAAACATTTAAACTACAATTTTCTATCTTCTGTAGTTAATCGTTGCTCAGTATTTGATTTGCCTTTTTCAGAGACTTGCGTTAAATGCATTTCAACAGAGTTCTCTCTCTATAATGTGATATTCAATAAGTCTTGAAACTATATATATAGTTTGATATTTAAGACTAGGATATAATTTTTTTTTTTTCAAAAATATTTTCCGTACTTTACTTATTGATTTGATTGTTTTGGATTTGTTTATTTATGATTTTATATATATATATATTTTCTGGAGGAAAAGCACTTTGTGTTGAAATTTTTTATAACATTTTTAGTCTTTACAGCAGGGTGAATTTCAATTGAACAGTATTCATTTTGGAATGTTTGGTTAGAAAAAAAACTATGCTTTAAATCTCCTTTATTTGTACATCATTTTACAAATTACCTAATAATTTTTTGCAGGCTTTAGGAAAATTATAGTATCAATACCACTTGGAATGCATTGTCCATTAAGCCTACACCTGCTCATCTTGTCATTAGTGTCCTCAAAGTAAATATCTCTGTGTATGAAACATGTAGTTACAATTCTAAATCATCTTCAAAGTGCTAAAACCTACTGACTTAGCTGATGAGCCTCAAGTAAAAATTACAACCTTCAAATCTTTATTGGCCACAAGTGAGCCATTATATTCTTAGCTTTGATGTTAATAGATTATAATTCCAAAATCTAGTGTTTCCTTTTCTATCATGATAATTTTACTTTCACTGCTTGTCATTTCTAAATTCCTAATTTTGTTTTAAAACTAGATTTGATGGCATACACTGAGCATAAGAAAATCTAATTTTTATTCATTGTTTTAGTCACTTTCTATTAATTATTTCAAATGGTTAGTTTCTTCCAAATATTTTGAATTTCCCAAACCACCAAAAATGTGGTATTCCAAGTTAGAATCTATGCACTGCCATTGTTTTCATTCTCAGAACTTCAAAATGGAAACTGCAAATAATAATTTGATAAAGAGATTGTTACATACGATTAGCCAGCACATTTCTGTCCATAGAAGACAAAATATCATATTGTGTACAATATTCTGGAGTCGGCAACTCGTCAAAATGGAAACCCCTTAAAACTAAACTTTATGAATGAAATGAAAATATTGGCAGATGCAAAGATATTTTGTAATGAGGTAATGAGCTCTGTAGGAGGAGAATGCTGTCTTTGGAAACTTTACAGCACTTTATTCCCCAATGTATTTGTGATAATTTTGGGATTGAATAGATGATAGAAGGTATATCAAAAGTTTGAGGCAATCATCCACAATCTTAGATGGACATGAAAAATAGGCCTACTATGAAACAGATTCCAATGGGAATTCCAAACATCTGAGCCACCTTGTTTGGTGTGCACTAAATATGCAAACCTATTCATTACAAAATTAAAATTACAGAACTTTTTTTTCATAATGTATACTATCTTTCTGAAGACAGTTAACTGATATTCTCAAGCCTGTGAAGTAGTGAGATACACTTTTAAGCATGAATTTTCCCCCTTGAGTAGCTGGGTTCATGGCCAGCAATAATTGGGCAATCAAACACTCACAGCCACGGTTCCATCTTTGTTCAACAATGCTTACACTCTGGATGAGGTATAAGCAGTGAGTGTAGGTTTCCAGATTTTCACTGGCTCCAACTATGGCTACTACAGAGGGAAAAAATTGAGTGTTTATGGGTGTATTAAACTGATTTTGGAAATTGTACAGTAATTACATACACTTAATGTTTATGGGTGTATCAAACTTCTTTTGGAAACTGTATAGTAATTCATATGCTAAACCAGAGAATAAAACAGTTTATATCTGACTGCAATGAAAACGATAAATTCCCCAGCATACATTGCCACATAGTATTTTGCATACTAGATAACTTTCCACAAAATTACATTTAAGCAGTGCTTCTGCATTCATGCCAGGGCATTAATAATTACTCCATTCTTCCACAACACATTTTGTATCACTTTCAGCCAGGAATCTTGAACTTCATACATAAGCCAGTAAATCAAAGAGGTAATGCACTATTGTTATCATTATGAACACATTGATACATGAATATCCACAAGATTTTGAATATTGTGTTTCATACTGTCTGCACTTATCTGTGTCTCTGTCGAACACCAAACTAAATCACTACCATAAAATAGTAAGAGCACTCAGTGTTATCAACTGCAGCCTTGTTATTAATCATATGAGGACACTAAAGATCAAACAGAAAGAAAAGAAAAAAAGAAAATTATTAGACATGTAAAAAGGTTTCAGTAGAATTTATCTAATGTGGTAAAAGGCATTTGGAAAGCAATAGAGCAGTGTGTGTTGTTTTGGTTGATTCACCAGCATGAATAAATCTATACTGTACAATGCCATGTAAAAATCACCTTTCTTAGTCTTTCATCCATCAGCATGAAATTCCCATTCGCTGAAAAAAGCCCAGATCTTTATATCCTCCAGAACCCTTCTCCCTGGAAGAAGAAAACAAATCTATCTAGTTCTACTATAACAATATACCATTTATAACCTATTTGTTGTTTCACCGAAACATCCAAATTTTATAAAATTCAAGACAAAACTGTGTCCAAATCAATTAACAATTAAACAATTAATAATTTCTGTCTGTGATTTACCTTAAACATTATATCATCAGAAACGTTTATCTGCAGCAAATAAAGATCACAAACAGTGACTTTGCTAGTATTATGGAAACTTTTGAAGAAATCTAGTAATTTCAAGAAGAAAAGATTATCCCAAACACACACATTAAGAATACAGATAAACAGAAAACTGAATTTTGATGTAGTTTTAATCTAGTTCCTGTCATATACACAGCAACCTTGAAGATTCCACTGCCTGCTTTTATAAATAGATTGTACATTCACACATATGATAGTTCATGCAAGTTCAATATGTGATGTAACTTTTTGAACTGAAGTAGCTGTTGTCACTGACACCATTCTGGCAACAAGCTTCCCTCAAAGTATACTATGTAAAAACTGCTGTGGATAAGATACCAGTCATATACATGAAAAGATATGGAGCTTATGATCAGGGACTTTATTATTAAGTTATCTACTGAGATGATTGCATGAAGCTGAATTCATGTACATCAAAATATACTAACACTCACCTGAAGAGTTCAAAATGTACACCACGAAATCCATTGGTACAAGGTAAGCATAATATCCTACAATAAGGCATTTCTCTGGGTGATTTTACTTCATTCTGTAGGTAATTGAATTTTATTTTACTCAAGTATTTATCTTTTTATTTTTGACAAGTGAGTCCCTTACAAGCACCATTAAGATCATCTTGAAACCTGAACACTCATTCTGCAGTTCAATACAGTAAACAAAGAGGAAAGTAGCATGGGGTGATAGACTTCTCTTTTTTACACACAAAGATTCTTCCTTTCTTCATTTTCTACACTCTCTCTCACTCATCCTTCACTCATCCTCTCTAATTCTGATTCCTCTTATATTCTTCAGTACAATCTAATAATTAATGATAACAAGAATGATAATCGTATGGATGAAAATTTAACAATGAAACTGTTATGCTTCTGCTGTCTGAAAAATGAAAAAATCCTAATAAGGACAATTCATGAAACTATGAATTGTCTAACATTAACAAAACCAGTAACAGCAACAATAATGATGTTCAGTGTTTGTTTTATTAAGTGTAATAACATGCTTAAAGAATCAATATAAACAATTCCTACCATTAATAATAAAACTACCAATAAACAGAAAGTGAAAAAAAAAAAAAAAAAAAAAAATGGCAGGCCTATTACAGTCATCATAATTTTACAGAATATATAACCTCAACAATAAGGGCAAAACAATGTGTATAATGATTGTAAAGAAAATTATAAATAAATGACTAATTACAATGATTAAAGTAGTTCTAAAAATAGTAATATTAATAACACACTATTTTACTTGGTAACAATTTCTTATTATATAAATCATTAACAAGGACAATTTGAACTTGACATTAACATCAATGTTATCATTCCTTACTGATTGCAAGTTCAGTGCAAATAAAACTATTAATAAATAAAGGGAAAAATATATCAACATTTAAGGCAACTGTACGAGCTACAACTTTCAGAAAATACTGTGAATTATCGACAGAAAATTTCTTGCATAACACACTGAATCAAACCAAAAGATTGTTAAAAATCAAAAGGTTTCTTTTTCATTTACTAAAAAACAAACTGCTTTTTAAAAATTTCCATTTGTCTATTAACCTCACTAGAATTGTATTCTTGTGTCCTGCTCAGTCATTTTCTTTCTACACATACAAATGTTTATTTTTCTTCTTGACACAATATCTTCTTCAGTCTGTAGCCACTGTCAAATATTATGAAAATGGATGGGGGTGGAGGAAAAAAAAAAAAAAAAAAAAAAAAAAAAAAAAAAAAAAAAAAAAAAAAAAACTTAAAATATTATACCTTACACTCTAAACAAATTCTAGATATTAATGAAAGTTATTCTTAACACAAAAAAATAAAGTGAAAAAATGAATATTACTATATTAGTTCATATGAAGTTCCACTTGTCTCTTCAAAATTCATCTCTATTCAAACTTGGAAGGGACTCCTCACAATACACATGCTTTATATTGCTTTCCATCTTTAAGGCTTGACACTTTTTTTTTCTTTTTTCTTTTCTTTATTTTCCATCACTTTTTTCCTTCTGGTCCTTAAACTCAAAGTCACATTAACAAGTCCAGAGTATTTGAGCAAATGTATAATAACAACATTCATACACTCATTGTATTTTCATTTTCAGAAAACATCTTGCATGATATCAAGATGGTTTTACTGTCAAGTCTTTTTTCAATACACATGATGTTTTTTGTGGATAACTCTTTGAGATGGATCATGCTAGACATTTTTTTATTATCATTTTTTTTAATGCTGGTAGTACTGCTTAACTAATTCTAATCATTCATATTCTTCTTAGCAGTAAAGAAAAAAGAAGAAAAAAAGAAAGAACAAAAGAAAGAAAATACACAATGCTAAAAATAAAAATGTATTAAATAAAGACAAGGAAGTTTAGAAACAGAATGTTGCTCTGCTATTGACTCAGCCAAACACATATACCTATTACAGTGACACAGAAAAATATCATTTAGCGTGGATGACGTACAGTGAAAGGAAACGTGGGAAGTGAAGAAGTGAAAATGATAATTTACATCCTCTAAATCTATGTAAAAAGAGATCAGAATACTGTAAACCTCCTTGACATTGCATGTCTCGTGCTTAATATCAATAACACTTAATATAAAAGACTTCACCTGCATTCTTGGTACTTTATTAAGAAAATTAATTTACTAAAATCCTGAAACATTAGGCCTTATAAAATATCATAGAATGCTTTGTTCACTTCTTTTCCAACATAAATACCACTAACTGGATGTTAACTTTCCTGCATTAGTAGTCCTAAAGGCTTAAAAATTCCTGACCTCAGTCCAAGGCCATGGTTTTGAACGCAACTACTAAGTCACTAGATATCCACTAATCAATGCCAAGATATCGGTGATTATCCCATAGCCAGTCAATATAAAAGTTTAGCATGTGGTCGGAGGGTCTCACTTTGCGCCATTCATTAACACAGAAGATTCTATAAGAATCATTTCCATACTTTCCAATACCATGCAATTCCTTTGGGTAAATCCAGTCTTTGGTTAGATATTCCTCTGAAAATAAAATAAAAAATTGAATGATATTTAACATTCAAACACAATTGCACTGTTAATATTCAAAACATTTGACTGTACATTAATACTTCATACATAGAACAGTGAAAAATAGTATAATTAATATTCAATAGAGGCTACAACACATTAACAATGCAAATATAGAACAATAAAAAGTAAACAAATATTCAAATTTTTGAATTGAGGCATCCCCATGTGAATAAATATTTCTAACAAAAATCAGTCACAATAATGGAGGCTTACCAGAAAACCTAATAATCATTTTTGCTCTCTTCTCATGCAGCCCTAAACACTGAATGAGCTCAGCTATTTCTTCCCAGGATGCTTTGACCGTGTCCTCTGGAGTGGGCCACCTCTCAAGGAAGTCCCATAAGACATTCTTACCCAAGGCCTCTTCACCTGCAACAAGATTTGGTCCTAAAGCAAACTATGCCAATGAAACAGTTATAGCAGTTGTAGTAACAATGAAAATGCCTAAATATTTAGTTACCCTATTATAATATGAAGAAATCTGTGTAATGTAAAGCATAGAGTAGATTATGAAATTCAACCTTGACCTAATGCCACTAGGGATGGCATGTGCATACATACCATACCCACGGTGAGTTCAGCTTATTAATTGTATTTCCACATAGATAACTTCACATGTGTTTAGTTAGTGTCAATTACTAACCCTACCAATCTCATGTTTACCCTTTTCTTGGATTTTTTTTAGATGTGTATTTTTTTTATTGTTAATCAAAGGATCTAATGATCATAATGCAAATATAAATAAACACAAGATTGATATTAAAAGCATTAGAAAATAGTTGTTCAAAAATTAAAGGAAAGGGGATATTAGGTGGCCACGTACGTCTACTATTTAACTCCTTGCCGGCTTTGTACTTGTGAAGCCATCTATGTATAAACACATTCCAAAAGGCAATACTACAGAAAACATCATATCTCCTTGGTAGCATTTGGTTGATGCTATATCACTTTAGTATGTTACCACTACATTTGTAAATAGCTATAGCCCATTCAAGCTTATATAGGAGGCCATGCCTGCTTACATTAGTACCACAAAGAAATTATTTTACTACATACCATCACTTGATGTCTAAACCTTAAGGCGGCCGTTACGACGAATAATTTTTAAAATATTTAAAAAATTGACAAAAAATCTCCTGAAATCTAGTAGGCTTTGGCAATCCCGTGATGTAACATTTTTGCTAAATATGTAAAAATAAAGGAGTTATAACAAAATCTCTGACACCCTAGTGTCAGTATTTTATTTTAGCATTGTATCTTCTTCAAAATCACTCATATAACTCAAGGCAATTTTTTTCCTTTTTCCATTGTACCGAACTTATTGGCACAATCTCAAGACAATTACCATGAAGAATGTTTCCATTTTTTAAGACTAACAACTTAATTTCTGAGAAACTATTTGAGGTAGAAGGGCTACAATGTAATGAACCAGTTAATCAATATCATCTGGTCTGCAACTGAAATATATTAAGGATACTCTAATTCTTAGATAAAAAGCCAGTACCTTTGCTCCCATCTCTCACCTGTAGTTCTGTTAAGGAATATAGTACCGATGAGAAGTTTCCAAGGGTCATGGTAAAGAGATTCCTGGAAGAGGTTGAAGGGCGATCTCGGGGGATTCCACTTTGATGCAGCTTTGAGTCTGACTCTGCCCACTGCCTCCCCCTTGGCTCGGAAATAGTCGCTGGTCTGGTCAGTTCCTTTCTTCTTCTTGACTAAGGGTC